TTCACAACCACAAACTCGCCATCCCGCATCTCCAGCAAAGACACATCAATGTCAGCGAAACTGTTAACAGCAATAATCTTATATTCCAACTCAATAGGGCTGGCTTTAGCGAACCGAATAAGTTCCTCCTCACTTTGTTTTGAAATTTCAACTTTTTCTTGTACAAGGAAACTTAACCTTAAATGCGTCAGGTCACCCCAGTCATCAACCCCACGCAAAATGGATGCCCATTGCTTATAACCATCCATGTGCTTGACAAGTTCAATCACATGGACTTTGCATTTTCCCTTGATGACATCTGAAATAGACCGACCTACAGTAGAAAAAAGGTTATACCCGTCACACATCCACTTCTTCCAGTCAGGTGATGGGAATGAAAAATATTTAGAATGAAGTCCATAGGCTCGGCAAGCGAGAGCCTGTGCAAAATATCCGATCAATCTTCTAGTTGCAGCCGAAGTTTCCTCTTCAGCAAGATGAATAACTCTTCCCATCTCTGTATTTGCAAGTCTCGGATTCCCATGTTGAAGCGCCTCCGCGCATTTTTTCAAGGCGTCAACAACATCCACCCTCATCCTCCTCGACTAGAGAATGATTTTTCTTTTTCTCAACTGCAACTTAACTAATTTCTTTTAAGTCATAATGTCTTTGATGATCACTTTATAGAATTTAAAGAACAGAACAGCTTCTCTCCTTTCACTAACTTTTGGAATTAAAAAAAAAAAAAGAAAAAAAAGGAAAGAAAATATGATCAATAGGATTTTTAGATCTTAATTTCAAATTTATTGAAAAATAAACAAAGAAGAAAAAATCAATAATTTCATGCAGAAAATAAGAGCACAGACTAACCTCTAGGCGAAACAGGTCAACGTTCACAGCCGCAAGCTCCAAATAACAAGTCTGCCGCCCACCCAGAGCTCCCAATCTAGTCCCACGGTTGGTGGATCAGATCAGTCCTCCAACAGAAACTATGGCAAAGCACTATAGAGGGTATAGGAGAGATTCTGAAGGTCGTTTCTGTAATTTCACGATACTGGGGTTTTTTTTTTTCTTTTTTTGAACAAGTAGTACAAATCTTCGGGGGTTAGGGTTAGGGTTAGGGAATCGGCTGGATGGCTGAAGCTGCACCTCTTCTCCCAAACGTCCTAGAAAACCAGATGCCTGAGTCGGAATTGGAAGATCCGGAGGCTGGTATTAATATTATTGATGATTTCCTTTGTGGGGAAACGGTGTGGCTTTATGATTTTTCAGAATGAGATTGAGACGTATTTTTTTTTTTTGAACAAGATTACATGGGGCGGGTAGAACCCTGCCCGGGGGGGGAATGCATCATGTGGTCAGAGACCACTTGGCCCCAAGGGCCGGATGCGAGATTGAGAGGTATTGGTGGGCCTTTCTAGGAAATTTCCATCGCCCATTCATCGGTGGAAAGTTTGTTCAACCATTCATCTTTGGCAAAACCATAAGTTAAGCCCCTGAACTAACCCCAAAATCGCTATTAAGCCCCTATACTTTAATTGGTGCAGTTAAGCCCTTGAACTCTGGGATCAAAGCAATTAAGCCCATCTTCTTACGCCAACTTAACTGCCGTTTGGGATTGCTCGCCTGA